CACAAATATTCCAACCGGCTTCTGCTTCTCAAGAGACAATATTAATTATTTGAACTTGCCCAGGCTAAATAGATTCTTAATTTATTGAGAGGATTTTTTTCATGCAGAGGGTCAGATTTATCAAGTTGTCAATGTAAGTAGAACTACTTACCTGCCTCAGATTTTTGCAAGATCAGACTTCTTGTGTGTACTAAGGAAACGTTTCTGGATTTACATTGTTAAAAAAGTAGATAATGTTAAAAATAATACTGTAATCAGCATTAGGACTTCCATTATGTGTCAAAAAGAATCACGCTCTGTTTGTTTCCTGGCCCCCTGCAGCCAGGCTCTTCATATTAACTTGAGTGATTTGATGGAGTAACTTTGGGCTTTTGGTCCAACTTGTACGTTTAGAGACATATGAATAAGACTCCGGTCTGTACCAACACCTTGCCTAGCAAAGTGTTAGCTCATATATTTTTCCCATTCTCTCTATCTGTTCTTAAGATAAATTTCAAAGATGAATTTCTAAGAGGTTATACAATCAGTGTGACGTTGCAAGAACATTTGCAAGACTCTTGGCAGTTGAGTCTCAAACAACTAAGCAGTATTAAAAGTTGTAGTTTTCTCATTTGAGAGGGCATTCAGTTTCCAAGAGACTTTTAAAGGAGCAGGGTTAAACTTGTAGCATTATTTTTAAATCTAGAGTTATCAATAATTTCAGATTGTATTTCAAATAAGAGATCATGAGTATTGGAATTATGAAAGAATTCATTTTCAAAATAAGTTTTGAGGGGGTTTATAAATGGTCTATTTTTGTCTGCCATAGAAAACTGATTTTCATGTTTTTATTTAACAGAATATGAATTTATTAGTTTAGCAATGGAAATTTAAAGAAGACCCTAAATTCTCAGCCTCGTCTACCTAAAAATTGTCTGATTCTTAAAGACAGAAAACACACGCATTTTTGACGGTTTCCAGTTGTTCAGAACTAACACTAGAAATGTTGATGATGCAGGCGTAGTTCTCATCAAATATGTAAGCTTATGATGGATTAATTGACAGAGTTACACGGAATGGTTCCTCCGGCTTTGAGAATTGTGTAAAAGGCCCTGAGTGCCTGCATTAAGGCTGTTTGTTTTGCAGAACCACCTGTGTGCAAAAGCTTGAGGTTCTGTACTGCACCTCTGCGAGACTAGCTGGGAGCTGGGGGATGCTCCTAGCCATGGCCGTGGGCAGTCCCAGCACAGAGCCTGGCAGTGCATGCACCAGGAGCCTACAGCTGGACCTGGACCTGTTTCTTCCGTTACATGGCTGAACCAAATCTATGTGGCAGTGAGAGGAGAACTGCATTACCTGTCTGTCTGTGTGTGGTCTGTGAGTAGTCTATCGTGTCATTACTGTAGACTGCAGTAGCAACAAACATTTCACTGAGAAAAAGAATGTTATTTTAAAGTACATAGGCATCTCCAAGAATCTTTATTTTTATTTATGCTGCACTGAGGATTCAAGGACTTGAATTTCTTAAACAGAAATTTTTAATGACAATGATAAAAAATGCATTAGGCAGAGTACAGGTCTGACTAGGGTTACCCATACATGCTTTACTATTCATAGTGACCCAAAAGGGGAAGGAATACGATTCAGACATTTGCTGATGTGTTACCAAGCAGTGAGATTGGGGTAATCAGCTTCTATAAACTAAGGCCATTTGGAAACAGGACAGCAGTAGTGCTGGCGGGGGGGAAGGTTAGTTTTATATCTCACGATCGTGAGTTTTCTCGAACCGATAGCCTGTTTTACCTGAGGAGAGGGTTAGAAAGGGCTAGATCCATTACGTTCATAATAAACGAGGATTGATTTGAAATATAATTTTTGTAATGTCATTATTTTGCAAAACTACAGCACCAGTCAGGCAGTTAAGATATTGTCAGAGGTGCTCTTTTAATTTAGATATTCTTGGAAAATACATATGTATAATATATGTACATATATATATATACACACAGTATATAATCTACAGCTCTGAGAGCTTTTAAGTCAGGAATGCTGAGTATTATAGTATATGGAGGTCAGAAAAAATTTTTACTTCTGTGTGCGTCTGGGTGTGTGCGTGTGTGTGCGTGTGTGTGAAAGCCTCCCCCTGCCCAGTCCTTCTGGGCTGCATTATTTAGCGCTTATTACTGATTTGTTTTGTGCTGTTTCTCAGTTATCCATTTTTGAGAATTGTATTTCATTTTTCATGGCTTTTGTGAGTTGGTTTGTTTTTATCTTTATTTTTTTTTTGACGGAGATTTTTGAAATGATGTAAACAGTTGTTTTACAACAGCCACCACCCCCCAGAATAACTCACTTTTGTGCTTTTTCTCTTTGGCAGCTATATATCAAAGGCAAAACAATTGGAATGGTTGTTGAGGTGTTGCTTTTTAAAGGAACCACTGGTAAGACTTCTGTTTTCCTCCTAGAGTTGCAGCAGTGCATTTGTATGTAAGCAGCGATTTCACCAGAAGCAGGTAGTTGCTTGTATCTGAAAGCACAATTGTAGCCTGTCACGCTGTCAGGACTGTACAGACTCCTGTAGGTTCTGGCTCTTCTGTAGGTCGTGTTTGTGTCGCAGACCACTATCTTCTCTGGTACTTTACATTGATCAGAAAATCGGAGGGGCGTTTGGAATCATTAAGAGGCTCAGGAAAAAAAAAGTTAGATTTAATAAGGAAAACAGCCCTGATAGTTTCTGATCAAAATTTGTACTACAGTCTTGTTTTGTTTTTTAAATCTGGGCTTCCAGTAGACAGCAGCTGCAAGTAGTCATCTGAGCAAAGACTAGCCTCTGCCTTTTTATCGTGTTAGACAGAGAGCCAGTGCTTTCTGTGGGCTAAAGACTGGTCTCTGCATCACAGCAAGTTCATTATCAGTGGTTGCAAATGCATGACAATTCATAGGGGATGTCATTGGTTTTCTAAGACCCTGTTTTTATTGTCATTTTTTACCCTGAAGATGGTTAGTGATGTCACATTTGCCAATGATCTAACCAAAAGGTCATGTATTTATTTTTGTTACACGATATCCTTTGTAAATGTTTAATTAAAATGTGCACTTTTTAAATAAAAATAATAATAATAATAAAAAAGCATAGAAAAAAAAAAAAAAGAAAAATTGGGTTTGCTTAAGAAGCTCCCGGGCACAATTGCTGCGATCCCGCTGCCTGCACACAATTCACTCCTCTCCCCACAGCAGTTGGCTCTTTCACCAGTGTAACTTGCTGATCAGCACCTGGCTTCCAGCAGGCACTGCTTCAGACTGGCAGGAGATGTGAGTGGGTGGTACTGAAGATGGCAAAGAATTAAGTGTGTGGTGTCTCAGAGCAGTAGGTACAGGATGGATGTGGCATTATTTTTAGACAGAACAGGTTCAGTGATCCCAGGTGAGAAAGGGAGATAACTCAGAAAGAAAGCCCAACTCTTTCTCAGCCTCTTTATCCCCCTTAATTTGAGATTTAGCTGCGCATTTTAAAAGCTGCATTCCAAGAAAATAAATCAAAACGCTTTATAAATTTTTGACACCGGGAATTAAAGGTATGCTGACAGTGTGTCACTTTGCTTTAAAAGAAAAAAAGCACAACTAACTTATTTGTGCAGAAATGATAATTTAGCTATAATCCTGAAATCTGTCACGGTAAGCAGGTTTTAAAAGCATACAGTACTTTCATGGTTCTCATGTACTGTGCCTGGGAACTCATGTCCCTGAGCTTTTGTATTTGCTGGCTGGATAAGACTGATTTTGCAGAAACCTGAATGTATCGTGAAGTTCAGCTGAAGTTCTTTCTTCTGTGTGCTGGTGGCAGGTTCGGGATTGTGGATAGACATGGCTTAAATCTGTGCATCTTTTAGGGAAAGGGACCAGATCCAGGTGGTAAGGGGAGTTGCATTTTAAGTGTTTTGTCTTGGAATGTACTTTTTACATGTACTTAAGCTCTGTCCTACAAAGAGACTTGCTCTGGCTATTTTTTGTAGCACAAATTGAAGACACCGACCTGTTCTGGTGCTACAAGTGCAGTCCTAGCCTGTGGTCCACGGCAGTGAGTCTAGGTCTCACTTTCACCAATAAGGAGGAGGAAAGCCAGCTGTCCTCGGGAGCTGTGTGCTGACAGGGAAAGGGTCAGGGAGCAGCCATAGTGATCTGTGGTTAGCGCTCCTCCGTGAGCTGAGCACTTGCTGTTCTCATTGCTTGGGAGCAGTCAGTTCACTCAGTCTCAGCTTCAGCAATCTATTTCTCTAAATTAGGGAATAGCTGAGTGAGAGCAAGGGGAAGGTCTTGAGCTGGTCAGTTGTCTGGAAATGGCCACCGTTAAGAACTGAGGGTAAATGGATGCTCTCCACAAGCTGTGTTTTATCCAGGTGCCACTCCATATATTTTTTTTTTTTGTGTGTGTGTGTGTGTAATAACATTTATTTATATTAAAACATAAAGTTTAAAAATTCTGAACTGCGACTTGGTATGAGATTTAATGCTGTGCTGCTGATATGGACTTCTATGGATGTGATGGGGAACAGGGCAAAAAGAGGTGCTCGTTGGCAGCCAGCCCCTCCACAGGCTTGTCCACAGATCAGTTGTTCACTTCAAAAATGAGTTTCTGGTTGTCTGGATTTATAATTTAAAATTGTTTTGGAACAGTGTTTTTCAGGGAAGCTTCCAGAGCAAGAGTTATTGTTCTCCCTTTGTAATGTATGCTGGAAAGGGCAAGTTCACCTCATCTGCATTTCTGGTTCTTTACCCAAACCATGTTAGCACAGAACAGGGTATTTGAGCTCAACTCCCACGTACCTGTGGAAGTTAAAAGACTGAAAGAAAATCCATTGTTGGGGGAAAATGAATCCTTTTTTTACCTTTCCCCAAAGATCTAGAAACATCCCTGTTGTGTTTATTTTTTTTACTTATTTTTTTGTGCTTTATCTGTGTTTAAAAAAAAGGAAAAAAAAAAAAAAAAAAAGCTGTACTGGGTTATAATGCATTTTATTAACACTATGTACATATTAGCTGCTTTATGTTTTCAGAATGGTAGTAATTGCTTTGTATATTAAAGTGATTCTTGTGAATTTGTGAATTATTGTCATAAAGACGTGCTTTTTCTTACTGTAACCTTTGTGGTATAAACTGTCATAACTCCCTTTTTACACAAACATTTATGTGCAGTCACATAAACATGCTTTAAAAAACTCTAAAAAGTCTCTTTTTTGAGCAGGATTTTCCCTTTGCACTAATCGAGAGGCAGAGCTAGATAGGAATGCAGGAAAGGGCACATTTTAAGCAGTCGATGGTATCCTCATGACATGGCGTGCTGTAAGTATTCATGAGTATTTTCCCAAACAGAGTGCTTTTAAAATCTCAATCAATTTGAATTAATTAGAGGGTAAATCCTGAAGACAAAGTTCCATTCTTCCAAAGTTCCAATCTTCCACTTCTGATACTTATTTTTAAACTTCCTTTCTTGTATCTGTTTTGGTGGTACTTAGTTCTGTTGTTTAATAATGTGTGAAAGATTTTTTTCCTTTCACAGTTTAAATATGCTATCTTTCCCACTTCTAAGCATTCCTCTTAAGCCATGTACTGCTGATTTTGAGAACAGAAGAGAAGGCAGCAAACATTACAAAGATCACAAATTGATTATGTAATCTGCAAGGTTGGATCAAACCACGGGACAAAAGCCAGAACAAATCCATCACTGATGCAATGCACCAAGGGAAAGAAGAAAGGTCGACTCATTATGAGTGGGATTTTGTGGTTTTCATAACTAAGCACTTTCATAGTGCTGTTCCTATATTTGTTCACAAAATCCACATCTCTGCAATGAGGGGAATCCCAGGCAGGTTAGTTTGTAAGATAAAAATGCAGTTTGTCTTGAACTTCACACTGAAGGAATCAGGTAACACAGGTCCCTCTGCAGTCAGTACATCATCCAGTAAACCTGATACTTCTGGTGCTGAGGCACCTTGAAGCTCTTTGTCTGTAAGATACAGAGCTGAATTTTCTACTCTGTCTTCGTAATAATGAAGCACCGGTTTTGCAATGACGCTGCAGTTTGTTCCCTCACAGAATGGCACATTTCAGAGACGGTTGCAGAAAATCACAGTATGTTCACGTCTACCCGATCACTTCTCTGTGTCTTGGATCCTCCCCCTAGGGTGAGTGGTTTTTTACTGTCAAAAGTCTGTTTATGCACTGCGTCACTACCCTGGGACAACTGCACCAACAAGTCCTCCATCCAGTTGCGTTCACATGATATTGCAAACCAGGAGTGATGCAGTGGAACCACCCAAAAGAGAATCTCACTGATTTTTTCAAGTTTAGGATAAACACAGTGGCAGAAAGTGCCTGGGCAGGGTGTCAGTGTAATTGCCATGCAGCTGCTGAACCATTAATGTAGTCATCTCATTCTAGATCAGAAGCTTGCCTGGGACCAATCAGTCGGGACAGGAGCATTTGGTTTTGCCTCAGGCTTACAGATGTCATTGCAGAGAGCTGCTCTCAGTACTTACCCAACGGGGCCATTGCTCCTGTCCTCGAGCCCTACACAGCTGGTGTGGTTCACTCCTGAGTCTAGAAGCAGCCAAAGCTGATCTTTTCTGCCTGCTCTCAGAAAGGTTGCTGATTGTAAAAGCAGCTACAAGAGAACACACAATGGGAGCTGCTAAACAATTACAAAGCAATGCAATTAGATTGATCTGTTTTAAAAATTCAAAACTTCTCATCATAGCACGCCATGGAGCAAAGATTCCCTTTTTAACGTCATACAGGTTGTTAAACTTCTAGGTTTTATTCTGTGCTGTTTAAGTATGCTTTTTAAGCAGGTTCCTGCTAAGGAAGCAGTGCAGCTGCAGCCTCTTGCAGGGGCTGAGCACGGCCAGGTAGCAGACCTTCCCCAGGGGCCAAGTCACATGCACAGGCAGGCACAAGCTGCAGCATTCTGCTTTCTGCCAGCCCCAGCCCCAGGGGAACCAAAACATGCAGTGATCACAGATGAGCTGAGAGAAGGAAGCACTAGGGGGGAGGAGGAGGAGCACTGAGAACTGGAGTCCCATTCCAAACATTACAGCCAGAAACAGAATTAGGAGTGCTTGTGATTTTTTTCCAGATGTTGCTCACCCAATTGGTAGGACAGAAAAGACAGTATGGCACATTACAGCTCATACCATGTTCTGCTTTTAATTAAAGGTGCTGTCTTCCTTTCCTCAAAAGACTTCAACACTAGTTTGAAACTGCAAACTCCCAGTAAGTACTGTTTTAGTGACACCGTGTGGCTTCTAAGTATACAGTTGTAAGCAAGTGTATTACAAAGCATCCGCCCTCAGGCAGAATTCAGAGCCAAGCAAAGAACTGAAGCTGAAAACAGACAACAGATTCTCCAGTGGCAAAATGCAAGGCCTTCAGACCTTGTTGGTGGAAGCTATAATGACATGTTATTTCCAGAATACGGTATGCATGTCACTTCTGGATCACAGACCCTCAGCATCTTCTCATTAGGAAGTCTGATGGAAGCAGGTATGGCCTCCACACTTGCAAGTTAGATACAACCACTAATTTCTAAGTCAGCTTGCTTTGAACTGTTGATCCCCCTCCTACCACCCCAGCCCTGTCTTCCCTGCTCTTCTTCAGTTCAGTAGTGGTAGCAATAGAACAGATTTATGGCATCTGCCTTTGTTGGGTGTGCCCTTTGCATGGCTTCTTTTACCACAGCGTTAAAAATGCAGGTCTGATGAGTTAAAACACTTTGAACTGAAGTCTTAGTTTATTCCACTTTTCTAAAGTTGAAGAAGTGATAAAAGGGAAAAATCCCATCTAATCTAATTGCTAATGTAAGTTTCCTGTGAAAATTAAGTGGGAAAATTAAGATTTTTAAACCACAGATCTTTTGATTACATTTTTCATGCATGACAATTTCTGCAACATAAATCAACTTCAAAAATTATTTGATAAAAAGTCGTTGGAAGACCTTATGTATTTCTTACTGGGGAATGAAGTGGAAAATCAATATGCAGAAGGAGGATAGGAACTTTCCCTGCTGGTTCAGACTGAGTGGAAAAAGAAGCCAGTGAAATAACACAACCTCCATAATTATATGCTTAGGAACAAGTGTATTTAGTAGGAACAAGGAGAGGTTTGAAAAGGATCAGCAGTTTATTAACAAAGTATACAGTCAAAAGTCATCTTTGTGACCATGCCTCTGTGCTTTGTAGATATGAACATCCTTACTGTAATCATAGTGGACCTCATTTACAGAGAAACGGCCTTTCAGCATCTTCAAGAAGTTGCTATCCCGTTCATAGCGGATACGGCAGGAAAGAAGAATCACAGTTTGCTCTGAGCACAGGTGCTCCAATGTCTGAAGCAGTTCCTCAAAAGTTTCTTCGAGATAAATGATGTCTGCCCCCAGAATGAAGTCAAATGCTCCCGGAGAGAAGTTGCCTAGGTCTTTTCCCCAAGTTAGTTCCTTCACCACAGCCTTCGGGTGTAGTTCAGAAGGTAAGTTAGCCCACACGTTCAGCTCCAGGAATTCTAGTGCTGGCTCCCTGTCTGTGATGGTAACGTGAGCACCTAAGTGGTACAGGAATATACGTCTCAGATAAATGCTTGATGTCCATAAATAGAGCATCTGGAATACAAAGCTTCAAGGTAAGCAGTCCTAATAACTGCTGAGATGCTTGATTAAAAACAAAAGAACAAAACAAGCAGAAATCCCACTGTCTGGACACATCCCATTCTTCATTAGTCACTTAAGAATATAAAATATATTCATATATTTCACACGAAGATTAAATCAGGTTAAACAAAAAGGTTTTCTGGCGCTTTTTCTCAGTGCATGAGAGTAATTATTTTCTGGTATGTGACAACAATTTTAAAAAGATTGTCACCATTAACTTGCTCTGATTCCTCATTAGAAGAGAAGCAACTGAAGAGGTCCGAGAAAATTTATGCCTGTGTGATTTCCTATGGCATTGCCACATTTTGTCAAACTGCTTTGTTTTTATTATTTTAACAGGCACTTTCCACTGTCAGTACAGCCCTGAATTACATGATAATCTGCGACACTTAGCACAGATTAAACAGTGCTCAGCCCCTGTCTCGGCCACAGTAGTATGCGAGGCAAATCATTCCTCCAGACCTTGGTTTCCCTGTCTGCAAGATAGGCTAATGTGGCTTTGTGTGCTTTCTGTCTGCAGCTTTATCTGTGCTGCATTTCAGGAGAATTGAAAGACGACAAGCACAGATCTTGCTCCCTGGAGGAGGAGATCTGCAAAGCTCAGTGTTGCGAAGCAGACTGCCATGGTAACAGCATCAGTCTTAGCAAGGTCCCACCATAAAGTAAACTGTGGTGGCACTATCAGTACAGTAAATAACACAGCGGGCTCTGAAGTCTGATGAGGGAGGAAGATGACTCAGGATATATCACAGTTCACATGTGTGGCTTTCATATGAACTTCTGCATGTGGATGTAAAAATGCCAGTTTTACTACAGCTGTAAATTGCTCACGGCAAACAAAACAACCCTTACCCAACAGTGTGGCCACTATTCCCAGCAATCCAGTTCCAGCTCCCAGCTCAATCACCGACCGATCCCTGAGATCGATGCCTCCCATCTCCAGATAAGCAGACAGGACGACAGCCTGAGCCAGGAGACAAGGTCAGTTAAGTGCACCTCAGTCATGCTATATCACAGCGCTTCTGATTTACACGGAAGAAGCACGCTATGAGGAGGGTCTGCAGCAAGGCTCCGGTCAGCCCTTCCGTGGAGGGCCCGTGAGCAGCATGCGGTCTCGTCATGAGCTTTACGGAAGACCCTTAGAGGCAGAATACGATAACGGCCCCGCTACCTAACGTGCAGCGCCGAGGAGCGTTCCGCGGGGTGGCTTCTGCCGGAACCGACGCGGCCGCTCGGGCACCGCATCTCTCCCGCTGCCAGCGCCCCGCAGCCTCGGGCCGGTCCCAAAGCCGGGCCGTCCGGGAGGGCCACGGCCCCGACGAGGCTGCCGACGGTCCTCGCGGCCGCTGCAGACGGCGGGCCCCGCGTGCTTCCGTGCTGCGCGCCGCCTGTGCGGGGCCCGGGGCGCCCGCTGCCCTCGCGCACGTGAGGGGCCTCTTAGGGAAGCGAACTTTCTTTAATCCGCCGATCCCCAATTCGGCGCTCGGTCGCTTCTCCGCGCGATCCGAAGTGCCCGGCCGCCGCCCGGCCCGCACCTACCGCGTCCCACACCACGGCCGCTACACCGCGCCGCTCCCAGTCCTGCCGGATGCGGACGGTGCGCCCCGCGAAGCGGTACGTGGCCGTCGGCCTGCGCAGGCCCTGCAGCGCCCGGCCTTCCTCGTAGGGCACCAGCGCCATCGCGGCCGCCTCCTGCGGAACGGCGGAAACGCGGCGGGGCGCTGCCGAGCCGCCCCGGTCCCTCCCTCGCTCCGGCCGCGGCGGAACCGTGCAGAACAGGGGCCGGGGCGCGGGAGGGGTGGGCGGCGGCGGGGCTGGGCCGGGCGGAGGGGCCCGTGCCGATGAGCGGTGTCGGGCTGGAAGCGGTCATCGCGCGGCCGAATAACGTCGGACGCGGCTCCCGGTACGGCTGGGTCGCGGCGGCGAGCGCGGCCGCAGGGCCGAGCCGCTCAGCGGCGGAGGTGTGGTGCCGGTGCTCCCACTGCCTTGTTTGTGCACGGCTCTCTCGTCACCTTTGGCTCCGTTTAATCTCTTGTTTGGCAAAACAACACAGCGCGCCTCTCCTTTGTCTCCCTACCCAGTTCCTTGAACCTGCTCCAAAGCCTGCTAAAGGCCGTGGGAGGGCCGGGCAGCCGTCCTGGCTTCCCGGAGGCGCTCGGCAAAGACTCCGGCAGCAGGAGGGCAGTGCCGGCCATGCTCCTCGTTCCCTGCACGGGGCCAGAGCAGGCGTGCACGGGTCACAGGAGAAGCGCCTGGGCGACCTGCGCCCATCTCCGGGGGCTGCACCGCTCAGCGGCTCCCGGTGCCAACCCTCAAACTTAGGGAGCACAACCAACTTCAGAACACAGCCCTGCCCTCCCACAGGAAACAGCAAATCTGGCTGGCAGAAGAAAGCAAATGTTATATGTGAAAGCTGTTGATTTCAACAGAGCGGCTTTAGATTTGTTAACGCCTTTGTGGAAGAGCATTACAGGCTGCACAGGGGAGCAGGAAACAAAGCTTGTTTGTAGGGTTCTGCTACTGTAGTGGAATGGAAAGCAGAATTCCACTTGCCCCAGACCGGTTCATACTTGTCTTATGGCAACTCAGACTTCTTTTCCTAAGCAGGCCAGAGCAGGTGTGATGATTCAGCTTACTGTGGTTTTATGTCTAAAGCACTGGTTCCTTGCCACTACTCCTACCTGACAATAATGCAGCGAATAGTCTTTTCTCAATAGTGTGTTTTTCTAAGGCATATATCCCAGAGTATCTCAGCAGCTCAGCAGGCTCTACGAATCCTGCTCTTCTCCTCAGAAGTATTTCCCTTTCTTCCTTGCTAATATTACTTTGGCACTGACTTTCACACGCCTTAGACAGAAGGCCAGGAATTACTTTTCAGAGCATAACTTGGTAGTGAAGCTATTAAAAAGGCAATTAAAGGCTATTAAAGGGCCCTACATCTAACTTTTTTTCCTCTCTACAAATCTGTTTTCCAAGTTACAGTATTCAAGTATTATAACGGCAGAGTAAGAGACATACTTTTTTCCCCACCTTTCCTGACAGTAAAATGGCAAGGAAAATGTAACAACAAAGAATTCTATGCATAGGACAGTTGTCCAAAACTGAAGTACTTTTTCTCTCAGCAGGGTGAGAGTTTAGCACAGCAATGAAGTTGGGAGAAATGTAACTCGGTTTGCCTTTAAATGCTGCAGAAGGCAATATGGATATCTGAGCTGCAGATAAATTTGCAAAGTAGGAAACTGCTCATTGTAAGGTAAGCAAGGGTGAGTTAAAGCAAAAAGAAACACTGCTTTCAATCCATTCTTATCTCACTCAACTACTTGATAGAACAGAGGTGCAGTATGTCCAACTGTAAATCCTGCTCCCTCTGATGCCACTAAGCTTTGTGGGGTAATTTAAAGAAGTGTTTCAGAGCAGTGGTTCTTTTAATGCTCAGAAAATCAAAGAATCAAGTAGATGTCATGAGAATGAGAGCAAATTCTTTTAAGACTGTACTGGTACACATCTCTTACAGAAATCTTCTCTTGGCTGCTAAATGTTTAAAATCCTTCCTTTGAAATGAATACAGCAGTTCTTGTGGTGGTTCTGCAGACACTGCATATACCAAATGGATCTTGGAGACATGCACAACGTGAGGAAAATACTGCATCCATCTCACAGTCTCTGGTTGCCACAGCAAAGACAGGTATAAATAGAAACAATCTGATACACTTTTTAAAAACTGTATCAGGGAACATGCGTTGTTGGTAACTGTCTGACAGCAACGCCTTATCCCAAATGGCCGCAGTGACTATTTGCCTGGAGACTTCTGAGCCTATGTGTCTAATCCTTTCTGTCTAAGCAAATATCAGCTATTTCTGCTTGTCCTTCCACTGGAACACAGGAACTATCTGTGAAGGAAAGTTTTGACAAATGTCTGTTTTGCTAAAAACTTCCTCCAATCAAACAAATGCTAACTAACACCAGGCATGGTGGGGAACTTGGAAAAAAAAGCTTTCTCCTCAGCTACCACCAGCAGTGGCCATTCAAGTGACTAGCAGTGAAGTGATGAACAGTTTTTACGTGTTCACTGGTAGCTTCCACACAGTCGGCACCAGAGAGATAGATGGGGCACTGAATTGCTTTCTGTTAAACAAAAAGGGAGTAAGCCAGAGATTAATTCTGCTCATCGCTGCTTGCAGTTACAGAATAAAGCCTGATTGATCTGAACCACCTTTGAAACCAACAGGATGAATTAAAAATGAAAACCTAAGTTTCTGCAGAAGCTAACAGGTTATCTGCAGACATTATAACTTGCTGGTTCTGCAAGAAGTGTTAAATAAGAAAATAATGTATGGCATGAGCTACTGTGTCATTTTCTTTATACAAACACAGTTATGTTAAGCGACGGAAGTGATGAAAAAAATCATGAAGATGCTTAACTTCAGAAGTGCAGGGGCTGAAATGCAGGAAGTTTTGGTGCGAAGGAATAGTTCCCATCAGCACTATTACAATCACTCCATAAACCTCATATCTTGATCAACTGTCAGATATAATCATGGCACTTATTACAATCTCTTGATACAGAAAAATCACATCACTTCTAGTGGAGTTACGTGACTGATCTCATAAAGGCCACACAGTTCTGAAAGTTGGCATTGTTCTGAAATCTTAATTAACCAACAAAAAGCAAAACGAGCCAGCTCTTCTCCCCGTAAGTGACAATGGCACTTTGGTTGCTGGAAACCTCCAGCTCTTGCTAATGCACTTTGCAGATCTGACCTACAGCCTCACACTGGTGTGCCAGCAGCTGGGCACTGGGCCGTGCTGGCCCTCTGATGGGAAGCAGACAGTGCTGTGCTGCAGGGCCATGGGAGGCAGGGAGGTGGGTTGCAATGCAGATGCTGCTGCCCTCCTGCAGCTCTCATGTGCAGGGTGCCTGGCTGGGGGCTGCAAAGCACCTGGCTCGGGTGTCTGCCTGTGGGATGCTGCTGCGCTGGGAAATGTGCTGCAAAAACACTCTTTGGTGGAGGCTGAATGTAGATCCAGAGGGTTAATTTTAAGTGCTCGCATTTCTGATGTGTTCCGTAGGTGCAGAGTTATGTAATTGGAGGGAAAATTACAGTGCAAGCCATGTACTGTATTAATTTACAACTAGTTAACGACAACTAAGGGCAGTTTGAAAACAGTTCTATAGGCAAGCAGACAGCAGCTAGAGCATGCAGGTAGACGCATCAGGTTCCCTTTTTCAACAAGTAGAAACCAAGAAAAATGTTTTTTGTTGGTTGGTTTATTTGTTTATTTATTTGAGATAGTATTAGGCAGCTTTTCTCCACTCTTTAGAAACAAAACCCTTCAGACAAAGGAGAAGAAGCACTAGGCACCCGTAGGCAATTTCTGGTGCCTCAGACCTCACAAGAAGGGCTCCTCAGGGCCTCCTTCCAGACTTTTCATGGCCCATGTTGGAACTAAGCCTTCAGAAGTTTTTCTTAAAGCTATGGCTGGGCTTACACATGCAGTTTGCTGTTTCTGAATGAAGTCACGCATGCCATGTTCATGTTTGTGTTATAATACTGGAAAGCATTTCCCTTTTCCTCATAGGAAAACTGCATACATCACCTGGAGTACAGCTATTTCCAATGCTTGGCTCCTCAGGAAGAGGAGCTGTGCCAGCTCTGCCCAGCAGCACAGAGCACAGCCTCCTTGATTTCAGCGCATCTGAGATTCTCTTCTCAGGTGTAAGGTCTCCATAACTCCACTGCTGCAGTCCATTCTCTTGAGTCTCCAATACGTGCGGATGCTAGTTTTATGTTTTCTTAGGACAAAATGAAGACAAGATCCAAAAAAAGACTCCAAGGTCAAAAAACATTTACTGCCATATGCTTGTGCTGTTGGCATCACTGCAGTGATCCAGGTGCTCGCATGCTAAGAACCTCCGCACTGCCTGTGCTGACATCCAGGATTGCTGCAGAGACACAGAGGTACAGGTGGGATCAATTACAGCCATGCTGGATTCTGTGTGCTGCGAGGCACAGCTCCCAGCCCTGCTGGCACTGCTCACCGCTTGTCAGTAGTACAGGAGGTGATCTGAAAACTGAGAATGTTAGGGCTACTAAACCTCACCCTGTGACCCTGTGTGTTCTGAACAACCTCACTGGTTTCTTTTTTTACTCACACCCTAGCGGAAGCACTGGATCTATTTCCCTAAGTACTTTTTTTGTTTCAGTTTTTTTCCCTTAAATGGCCACAGCCTTATGTTACTGCTGAGCCTCAGAAGACAATCATGCCTGCAGTATTTTCATCCTGTCAGCTGGTGCTGGATTTCAAAACAGGATGCCCACTTTTCCCCCCATTATTCACAGCAGTGAGATGCAGAATCCGGAGCTTTTGTTTCCAGTTGGTTACACGGTCCAACGTGTGATTCATTCTTCCTGCAGCCATGTTTCCAGGAAAAGACAATACTGTGGCCTCTCTCCAAGTCACCCGCAGACTGCTGGAGGCTTGAGCTGGAGAGTGCTCCTGTGCCTGCAGCTGAGACACTTTCTAAGAAGAGATGAAGGGACGAGGCCTCAGGCGTGGACTGCTGTTATCTCTCAACAAACAAGCAAGGAGGGACACAGCCTTGGGAAAGCACATGCAGCACAGAATCAAGGTGCAGATAAGAGCAGAATGTACAGGATTTAAAATTCTTGGCCCTGTGAAGCACAACAAGCATCTGCAAAGAGCTAGTCTCTGTTCTTGGGATTGAGGCTGATTGCCAAGCCAGTGGCTTAAGGGCCTGCAGTGTCCCTCCAAACATTTAGGGAGACTCCTGGCTGCTCGATGCCATTGGTGTGGACTATAATGCCCATGGATATTGGAGTTTCCCAAGAGTTGTTCAGACAGGAGCTGGCAGTGATGGCTTCCAGCTCTGCTCTCAGGGATAAAGCTTCTCATGGCTCTGTGTGGTGGAGCCTGGGCCGGAGAGCTGCGTGGCCATGCACTCCAGCACTTTGCTTCGGCAGCAGTCAAACACAAATGTGCATGGATCTGCTGGCAAGGAACTGTGGTGGGGAAGGCCTGGGCTGGGCAGTGCAAGGACTTGTCTGCAAACAGTGCCAGTAGGCAGCAACTCATGTGTGTGGGGCAAGCAGGCCAAGTGCAGAGCAGAACCGCCTCCCCGTGAGCCTGTGAGCAGGAGCACAGCACCTGCAGTGCCCTGCCAGGTCTGGCAGCCTTCCCTTGTTGTGCCCCCCATGTGCAATGACACAGGTAGCTGGGCTCACAGCTCAGCAGCAGCAGGGTAGGCTCCAGTGTGTGAGCCCTCTGGGCTCCCCACGCGTTCAGCAAAGAGGGAATCTTTGTGTTTTCAGAATAAACCATGGCTCTGTTCCATCTCCATGTTTAGGGAATACAGACTACTGCTGTGACTGTGATCTGACTTCATCTTGCAACCCTATGTGGCCCTGAGGCTGCCTGAAGATCTCCTGGCAGTTACTGACACTTCCCCAGAGGGCCTCTGTTTGGGTTCATTTCCCAGGTTGTGGAAAGTAACTTTCTTGTTCATGGAAAGTGAAGTGAGCACGCTCTCCCCACCGTGCACCATGAAAAGCCAAAGGTGATCTCTGGGAGCAGAACTGAAGGCCTGTAGAGCAGCCTGCATGCTGATGGTGAGCATCCAGCTCAGGAGGGCTCCTGTGCAGCGTTAACGCCAGCCAGGGTGTGAGTGCCAGCCAAAACCCTCGGCTGCTTCTTGTGTGTTCTGCTTAGGTCACATTTTCTCCATGAACACCAATGGAAGGGAATGAAGTACTTTTTATCTTCATAAAGCGAGGTTCAGGTTTGAAAGGCCCTGCCAACACAGAACATCCCAAGGCTGCTGCACTCCCCTCGGCCCGGTGTACAGCGGGAGGGGCCCCAGCACATCGATGGACATTTGTGCGATGGGAACTGCTGACTCACAGGGGTAAATCAAGCGAGATGGCAGAAGGACGGCACGGGAGGAGGATGGGACTGGCAGTAAATCGCAGCGAACGGCGTTCGGAATGCGGCCACGACACCGAGTCGGTGTGCGCGGGGCCGTGCAGGCCAGGCGTGGTGCCACCTCCATCGAGTGCCGCTCTGGGCGCCCAGCGCCATCACCGCTCTAGGCAAAGCACCCGGCAACGGGTACCGCGCTGCTCTGCCGCGGCAGCTCTGCACGAGAGCCGTCAGACTGCCAAGACGCTCAGAGCGTAGAGGAAGGTGGCTCTCCGCGAGCCACGGATCCCCGCCCGAGACGGCGCTAGGGAGCGCGGAGCAGCGGCTCGCGAACCGTGGGAGCCACACCCGCGCCCGCACCCGGCCGCCGAGTAGCGCCGCAGCCATCCGCACCTGCCGACCGCGCGGCCCGAGCTCCGCGACCCCGCGAACGGGCCCGAGGGCGGGGCGCGAGCACGGGGAGGTGCGAGGGGCGGTGCCGCGCGCGCGCGTGCACTCAGGGAGGGCGGGAGGCGGAGCGCGATGGCGGAGCGTGACGACAGCGGCGGCCGTTGGCGGAGCGGCGTCACGCGGCGGGCCGGCGGCGGGCGATTGGCCGGCGGCGAGGCGGGGCCGCGCCTCTCCCCCTCCCCCGGCCCGGGGGAAGGTGGCCGCTCCGCCAGGGCCGTCGGTCGCCGCGCGGAGGAGGCGGCGGCTCGCGCGCGGCCGTTGGGGCGGGCGTGGGCCGCGCCTCGCCGGGGCGGAGGCGACGGTGATGCTGCGCTGAGCGCTGACGCCCGTCCGCCTCCCTCCCTCCCTCAGCCCGGTGCCTCCGCGCCCCCTCCCCCGCCCCACCCGGCGGCCGCGTTAGCCGGGGCCCGGCGGGGGAGCGCCGAGCTCCATGGGCAACACCGTCACCTGCTGCGTGTCGCCGGACGCCAGCCCCAAGCTCGGCCGGGCCCGCGGCGGCGCCGGCGGGGCGGCGGCCGGGCCCGAGCGCTGGGCGGACGCGTACCAGGCGGCGCCGAGCGGCGGCGGCTCGGGCTCGGCGGAGGCCGACTCGGGGGACTCGGAGCCCGGCGGCGGCGGCGGCCCGCACCTCCAGCACATCAGCGACCGCGAGTTCCCGGATGGTGAGCGGCAGGCGGCGGGGCTGCCCGGGCGGCGCGGAGGGGAGCGGAGCGGAGCGGAGGGGCGCCGTCCCGCCCGCCGCGCCCCTTTGTCCCGGCGGCGCTGTGCCCCGAGCGGAGCGGGCGGCCATGGGGTCCCGGAGGGCGGGGGTGGCTCCGGGCCGGGCGCCGTATCGGCGTGCCGAGCGGCGCTTCCATCGCTGCGGGGCGGGAGGAAGGAAGGGTGTGTGGGAACGGGCGGCGGGGCGCTGGGGAGGCTGAGGGCCGTGACATCAACCCTGGACGCGGTAATTTATAGCCCGGCGTGCGGGCCCTTGGCGAGGGCTGTGTGCCTTATGCGCTCCTTCGTGTGGCTCGCCGCCCTCCGTGAGCCCATGGCGCCTCACGGTTCCTCCCGGCCCGGCCCGCTGCTCCCAGGCGTGCCCGGCGCACAACAGGTGGGGCCGCGCCGTCCGCTGCCGGCGGCTGTCGGTGCTGCAGTGGCGCGGGGTCACCGCTCTGCTGTTGGAACTTGGCTTAATTCGGTGCTGCGCCGAGTATAACCACACCTACAAGAAACGAGTGGGAGAAAACAGCTGTCTGACATCGTTAGCGTAGGGTGGGCGCAGTGACGGTTAGCGCCATCCCTCTGAGCTCATCCTGAGGGCACGAACAGATTTTTGGTGACTGGAGAGAAGCCGTGTGGGTGAGCCTGAGGAGCGGAGTTACCGCTTGTGCCCCATTCTGCACAGCCGCTGTGCTGCAGCCGTGACCAAAGTGCAGCAGAACAGTCGGCTCCCTCATCTCTGAGACAGCCATGCAGCACTGCAGGAGAAATTATATTTGCCCGTCAGGAGAAATAAAATTTCATTCCTGTGGAAAGATATTGCAGAAATGTCAGAACTCTCCCATACTCGTTAAGCAGAAAGGAACTAAACGATTCTAACGAGTCAAGCAGAAATGGCTAAGCTAAATGAATGTTCTCAGGAGTAGGGGTTATACCTGATTGAACCCTCACTACCTGATCATGTGGGTGGGCCTAAGTAATTAGGCTTAACTTTGAAATCAGCCAGACATCAGAATTTCCTCAAAGTAGGGAAATACAGATATTTTTTATCTGAATGAAAGAGTATAACCCAAGCACAAGGCGATGCCTGTCTACCTCAAACCATAGTTTTGCGGCAGTGGAAGGTTTGATCTTGAGGCCAGAGCTGACCCCCAGACTGGCTGAGCTTAGATGGTTTGGGTGTGAGATGGCTTCAAAGATCACAGTACATGGTGTGCTGTGCATGATGGAAGCTGCAGCTGGTGAATGCTACTTGTATGCAGCTTTCTGGCTGATAGAACTATTTAGGGCTGCAGAAAGCATCAAAGTTTGACAGCTTTATGACAATACAACTTACATCTCTGTCCTTGAAGTTTGTTGTTCCTAAGTCATAATTCTTTTCCACTTGTTTTGCTAAAATTGAATGTTTTGGTTATACCAGGAATGCAGAAGCTACCAGCTGTGCTTTGCATCTTTTATATATATGTCTAAAAGCAAGTACAGCACTGTCCTTACAGGTCTGAGCTGTTACACGGGGGCTGTTGGGATACTTTGTGATGCTTCTCCAGCGTGCTGCTTAGCAGGCACCGTAGTTCATAACTTTTAGCTTCTGAACTTATTTATTTTGGGGGTAGAAAATGACAAATATACTGTGAAATACAGTGTATAAATCTAAGGACTGAGGTTGTGTCTTATTGCTACAAACATGCCAGCTGCCACTGTTACCAGGAATGTAAATGTGAAATGAATTTCTTTAGTGAAGTAGCACTTCAAGCAGTGCTGTGTTCTAGGGTCAGGAATTAAAGCACTAAGTTCTGCAGTTCAGTTTTCAGCAGAAACTAACATATATTGCTATATTGTTCAAATTCTAAGGTTTACTTAAACTAAATTAATCTGAAAAGTAGTGGCTATAGAAAAATTGGAAACAGCATCCTTATCTGAAGTACACCCCAGGGGGTGAAGTACAGTTGATGATGGCCAGCTGGCTCCAGAAGGCTTTTGGTCACAGCTGCCTGGATTGTTCATAGCAAACCCAGGTTAAACCAGAAAAATCTTGTATTTTTTTAAAACAAAGATGTTTATTTAAGGTAAAAAAAAAGAAAAGGAAGGGTAAGAGGGAGGGAGATAAAGCTGAGACACTGAAAATGTAATGTTTCAAAAAAGTTGGTTCAAAGGGGAAGAGGTTGTTGGCTTTGTTGTGAGAGTCTGAAGGATTTATTTAAATGCTATTATCGAGATCCTGAGGTATATAACTTGTTCTGCTCATAGCTTTTCTGGTTGAGCAAACTCTGCATTTACAGTTTGATGTTCAAAGGAGAGGTGGTGTTAAGTAAGTGGAACAGATGCAACTTTTGAGAACTGAAAGCTTCTCAGTAGGTTTTTGTCTTCTGTTAATGTTGAATATCAGGAGCTGAAGTGAGCCTAGAGCTGCTCGTTGGCTGCTCAGCTGTGTGCCGTGTTCCTTGCTTCTTTGTGCAGCTGGGGTTGAGCAGAAGGCTTTCTTCTCTGGTTTCAGAAGCAGCAGCTCTTTGGTGTTAATGTTCCATTTGGGTTAGTTTGTACTGATTACTGTTTCTTCCAAGTGAGTAACAACTTGCAGTTGATACTTGCTTTCCAGATCCCCGTGTCATACATATGTCTAGTTTTTTTGTGGATTCTTTGAATAAACCAGAAGGCCTTG